TTGTGTGAATGATGGTAGCACTGCCTCTGCTGTACAGGGTTCTGACATGAATGGGATTGACATCTCTGGAAAATCTGTGCGTGGCCATCCTACTTCTCCTCCAGAAACCTCTGGTGGGAGTTCTTTGGAGAATTCCTCACTTTACTCAAAGGTAAAATTTGGAAATAACATTGACTCGATTATTAATCATTTATTGACTACTTGAATAATTTGAATTTCCAGACCAAGTGCTCGGAGCAATCTGAGGAGCTTCTAGGGTTGATTGTCAATTCATTGAGAGCACTAGATGGAGCTGTTCCACATGGCTGCCCTGAGCCCAGGCGGAGGCCCCAGTCGGCACAAAAGATTGCTCTTGTATTGGATAAAGCTCCTAAGCATTTGCAACCTGACCTTGTAGCATTGGTGCCTAAATTGGTAGAGCATTCAGAGCACCCATTGGCTGCTTATTCTCTTCTTGATCGTCTTCAAAAGCCAGATGCTAAGCCTTCTTTGCAGTTTACTGTAAGATTGTCTTTGTAGCCGACTTAATTTCTTTACTTATGTGGTATTTGTGGGTTGTGTCAGTGTCACTAGGATGCACTTTAAGAAAATGAGGGAGTTTCTGAACATTTGTCTCAAATTTGAATGTAGTATTGTTTCCACTCATGTTTTTTCTCTAGAAATTTCATATGTTTATAATGATTCTTCTATTTCAGGTATTTGGAGTCCTCAGTCAACTAGAATGCGACAGTGAAGTTTGGGAACATGTCTTATTTCAATCTTTTGAGCTCTTGGCTGATTCAAATGATGAACCTCTGGTTGCAACCATAGATTTCATCTTTAAAGCTGCGTCCCAATGCCAACATCTTCCAGAAGCAGTATGGGTTTGCTTTCTTTTGTCATCATTTCATTCAGCATGTCAAAATAGTTTTTGGAAGCATATATAACTACTACCTTTTCCTTCTGTAGGTTAGATCTGTTCGTATTAGGCTAAAGAATTTGGGCCTAGAGGTGTCTCCTTGTGTTCTTGATTTTTTAAGTAAAACTGTAAGTAGCTGGGGTGATGTTGCGGAGTCTATACTAAGAGATATTGACTGTGATGATGATCTCGTTGAAAATTACTCAGTGCTGCCCTCTGGATTCTTCTTGTTTGGTGAAAATGGATCTCCTCCTGAAAGATTGAGTGCTCTAGACAAGCAGGCCTGTTGTTATGGTCAGCATTTTTCTGACATTTATGTCCTGATAGAAATGCTATCCATACCTTGTCTTGCTGTTGAAGCTTCTCAAACATTTGAGAGAGCTGTGGCTCGAAGTGCCTTTGTGGCTCAGTTGGTAGCCATGGTTTTGGAAAGGCGTCTAGCTCATGGACACAATTGTAATGCCAGATATGTTGCAGAAAGCTTACAAAATGGGGATGCTGTAGTAGAGGGAGAGGTCAGTGAACAACTTATTGTTCAGGATGATTTCACATCACTTCTAGGTCTTGCTGAGACATTGACTCTCTCAAGCGACCTTCGTATCAGGGGCTTTGTGAAGATGCTTTATATAATATTATTTAAGTGGTATATCAATGAGTCCTACCGGGTGAGGATCCTGAAGAGACTTGTTGATCGTGCCACTGGCATTACAGAAAATAGTCGTGAAGTAGACTTGGAGTTTGATATATTGGTTACTTTGGTTTCTGAGGAGCAAGAAATTGTTAGACCTGTTCTCAGCATGATGCAAGAAGTTGCTGAGCTTGCAAATGTTGATCGGGCAGCACTTAGGCACCAGTTATGTGCTAGTGAAGATGCGATTATCCGCATACGTGAAGAGACAAAGGTTGGAATTTCTAATATGGCCAAGGAAAAAGCTGCATTATCCCAGAAATTAAGTGAATCTGAAGCCACAAATAACAGACTTAAGGTACGGGCCTTAAACTAATTATAAGGTTTATATTTTATCTTCTATTTATTTATATTTTTGAAAGATTTATGGTAAGGTTTATGATTCAGGAAGCCATTAATACTAAGCTATTTTATAAATTCAGTCCAAAATGAAGGCTGACATGGATTGCTTTGCTCGAGAAAAGAAGGAACTTTCTGAACAAATACATGAGGTTGAGAGTCAACTTGAGTGGCTCCGCTCAGAGAGGGATGATGAAATTGCGAAACTCACTGCTGAGAAGAAAGCACTTCAAGATCGTCTTCATGATGCAGAGGCACAGCTCTCCCACTTGAAGTCTCACAAACGTGATGAGTTGAAGGTACTTGTGATGATAAATGTGAGCCCTCTTTGCTATTGTGCTGACTGCTATCTTAATCTCTATCTGGCAAGTTTTGTTATGTGACAGAGGGTAGTCAAGGAGAAGAATGCTCTTGCTGAAAGATTGAAGAGTGCTGAAGCTGCACGGAAAAGATTTGATGAGGAATTAAAACGGTTTGCCACGGAGAATGTCACTCGAGAAGAACTTCGCCAGTCGCTTGAGGATGAGGTTCGCAGATTGACACAAACAGTAGGGCAAACCAAAGGTGAGAAGCGGGAAAAGGAGGAGCAGGTTGCTAGGTGTGAAGCATATATTGATGGCATGGAATCGAAGTTGCAGGCGTGCCAGGTTTTTTCCTCACCAGTCACCATACATATTGCCTTTAATCTATTTCATAATCATGTTCTGGGAGGTCTCATCTGTTTAACCGGGACCTAGTGAGAAGGGGATTGGGTATTATTGAACTTGTCCTATGCCTAGTTTGAGTTTGAATCATCATTTGGGCCTCTCATGGAAAGTAATGAGCTTAGGAAATCTAATTCGATTTGTTTTTTTGGCGTTTATCGTTTGTTTCTATTCTTCTGCAGCAATACATTCACACCCTTGAAGCCTCACTTCAAGAAGAAATGTTACGACATGCCCCGCTCTATGGTGCTGGTTTGGAAGCTCTCTCCATGAAAGAGTTGGATACATTGTCAAGGATTCACGAGGAAGGGCTGAGGCAAATCCACACCCTCCAGCAGCGTAAAGGCAGCCCTGCTGGCAGTCCGCTTCTGAGTCCACATACCATACCCCACAATCATGGGTTATACCCTACAACACCGCCACCAATGGCTGTTGGTCTGCCCCCTTCTCTCATCCCAAACGGTGTAGGGATACACAGCAATGGGCACGTGAACGGCACCGTTGGGCCTTGGTTCAACCATGCTTGACTTGTAGGACCTGAACTTCTTTTAGTTATCTCCATAGAGCCGGTAATCATCTCAATTAGACAGAGATGCCTAGTTTGAGTTTGAATCATCATTTGGGCCTCTCATGGAAAGTAATGAGCTTAGGAAATCTAATTCGATTTTTTTTGGCGGTATTTGTTGCTGGTAGATCTGTTGGATCAGAGGTGTGTGTGGAGAAAGAAACAATAAGAGAGAGAAAGATCCCTTTCCCACGTCAGATCGATAGAACTAACAGTTGGAAATGCTGTTTACTTGTGTCTTTGCTTCGGATTTTTATAAAAGAAAGAAAGAAAAAGTTAATTTCAGTCATTCGAAAAGGGCTTTGGTTAACTAAGAGTAACGTTTGGTTTTAGAAAATATTTTCTGTTTTTATTTCTAGAAAATAGTTTTCAGTTTTTTGAAAATTAAAAAGCATGTTAATATAAATGAAGGCTTAAATTCAAAAATAAAAATTGTGCAAATATATTTGGTATCTAATTTTTTTAAAATGTAGATGAATAAATAGTTATTAAATAATTAAATTAAAATATAATTATTAAAATTTTCATTACATAAACTTAACATGTGATTTATGCAAAAATAAGAAATTTGATAAGAAATTTTGTAACACAAAAAATTTATTTAATTTTTTTACCAGTTGAATTGAATTGTCAAGACGAGTATATAACAGTTTACATAATTGGTAGTACATTATGGATAATGATGTGGTAAATGAGTTTAATCGATTTTTTTACTAAATTTGAGGGCCTAGTTAATATTTTAGAAAGTTTGAGAACTTATTTAATTTAAAAAATATTAAGGTATTATTAAAGTTTAAAGTATAAAATATAAATTATTATTAAGATATTTAATACATTAAATATAAAAATGTTAAACAATTAAATTATTAAAAAATTAGTTTAATGACCCGAGTAAAAAAGGTTTGGGGATCATATTGATTTTTTTGAAAATTTGAGGGTTTTAGATAACATTAAATCAAAAAATTATTGTTAGAAAGATTTGAACATACACAAGTTAAGTTAAAAATCTAGATTTTTAATATTTTTATTTTTCAAATTTCTAAAATAATTTTAATAGAAATACTAAAAACATCTTTTTTGTATGTTTTCATATTTTCACTTATTTTTGTTTTCATTTTCTAAAAATTATATTCTAATTTTACACCAAACATGTTTTCTTTAATGTTCTCTATTTTTGAAGAAAATGAGAATGCAAATAGACTATATCTCCTTGAACCAAAGGAACCCTTAGATTTTATCTTTTAACCATCCAAGCAAATGCATATTTGTTAGTAAGTTGATGGAAATTTGATGTACGGATGTTAGGGATGAGCAACTGCCATTGTTGTTAAGCACGTGCCATTAGCATGCGTTTCAGTATGTCTGCCTCGCTCCCAGCCCCGACGACCAGGCAAAGAATCAGATGCCAAGGTGATGGCAGAAAAAGCAGATTTTATTTATTTATTTTGGCCATCTGCCCATAATTTATGCTGAAAAGACTCCGAATTAATTGAACCGGAATGGCCGATGTGTTGGATTCGAGTTTCATTTTATGTGAACACTGGAGAAAAAAAAAAGCAAAGAAAAGAAGAGAAGAGAACAAATTACTTTCCTCTTTACAAATAAGAATAACAAATTAATGTTCAAGTAATTGTTTAATCATTACTCAATGCACCTTCCAAAACTTTACCCACATAACTAACAGACATCCTTAGTTCAGTTTCTCATCTTCCTTTTTCTTCCTCGCTAAGCAAAAAGCTCGTCTCTTTCCTGCAATGCTTTCAAACTTGTAGCGAAAATACCACAACACCATTCTATTTGACCTACATTCATTATATTATCATCTGGGATTCTGTAAAAAAAATTAAAAGAATATGGCTTTCCTTTATGCTATGTTCATTGGACTCACCACCGGAATCGGATTGATTGTTGCTTTTGCTCGATATGAGAAAGTCCGATCCTCTCGTCGTGCTCATATGGTATTTCCTGACCCACATTATATGCATGAAGTTTTTCTTATAGTTTGGCTTTGAAGAAAATAACTTCATTTTTCTCTTTTTTTGGATGACATACATGTTGGGTTTTCATGTTCGGCTGAACTGAAACATTATGCAGGCAAAGACGGTTGCTTCATTTGCAAGGATGACAGTGCAAGATACACGAAAAATCCTTCCACAAGAGTTTTATCCACCTTGGGTAGTCTTTTCTCAGCGCCAGAAGTTGAGTTATAACAATCCAATCCAATCCATCATATGTTAGTACACTACCAGTTTGTCAACTAATGTTAGTTTCTTCATAAATTCAGTTAGTGTGGCTCAATGTGCAGCTCAAAAAGATTTGGCCATATTTTAACGAGGTAAATTTTTTCTCTTTTTTTGGTAAAAAAGAAAATCCAGATGCAATTTGTTTTATATCTTTCACTTGGTTCATCTTATACGATGGCATAGGCAGCATCAGAGCTAATAAGAGCTAGTGTTGAGCCAACTCTTGAACAATACACACCGGCTGTCATATCATCTATGAAATTTGGAAAGTTGACTCTTGGTACCATTGCTCCACAATTTACAGGTTTAGTTTTTTCTTTCTTTAAATTGCAACACCAGTTTCTGTATGTCGAGCATATCGAGAATGGTTTTGGTTTTAATTTGTTTCCTCTATAGTTCGCTGATGTTGCACGAATTGTTCACACTCTTTAGGTGTTTCGATTGTTGAGAGTGAAAGCGATGAAGGGGGAATCACCATGGAATTGGAGATTAAGTGGGATGGTAACCCAAATATTGTGCTTAATATCAACACTAGACTTGGTGTTTCCCTGCCTGTGCAGGTAAACTTGCTGCTTATGCTAAAGAGCCTTTCTCATGTTTGATGTATTCGATAAAATGCCTCTTCTAACAGTTCTTACCGGTTAAGAATTAGCACATTTTCGGTTAGGCCTCCACATTTGGTTTTCCAATTTGTCATTAAACTTGATTAATTCTCTACTAGGAAACTATACTGAGTGGTTGGTATATGTAAGTATACATATGTAAGAAAAGGGGAGAGTGTGTGCCTGCTGTTACTCATCTGGAATTGAGCTTTTGGTATTTGCAAGCTATATATATATATATATATATATATATTGCATTCTTAGCTTTCATCTTTGTGCACTCTATTGAAGGAATTATCTTATCATCTCTTGGTTTTAACTTGTTCGTCTAGGTAAAAAATTTCGGATTCACTGGGGTCTTTAGGTTAATCTTCAAGCCACTTGTTGATCAGTTTCCTTGTTTTGGAGCTATTTCATATTCCTTGAAAGAAAAGGCAAGTATCAAGTAGTCCTCTTAACATTACCAATTCTTTATGAACAAGAAGAAAGTATTGAGTGTTGATCACATTCGACTCAATATTTATACTTATTTTACAAAACATGCAAAACAAAAGCTCAAAAGGATTAAGTAAGTTGTAACAAATTGATTTACTATTGCTTAAAATCTGTGTATTATGAATATATCTGCATGATGCAACTAAATTTTATATTGATATCATGGTTATATGCTTCTTTAAACAGAAAGATCTTGATTTTATACTTAAAGTTGTTGGAGGTGATTTATCAACAATACCAGGGATTTCCGATGCTATCGAGGTGCGAGAAAACCCTTTTTTCCTTGATTCTTCAACCACTTGGAGTTTAAATTATGATATGGTTCTTATGAACTGGTCTTTTGATTTTGCAAGTACAGGACACGATTCGAAATGCTATTGAAGATTCTATAACGTGGCCTGTTAGGAAAATTATACCCGTTTTACCTGGAGATTACAGGTATGCTAAGTCACTGTAGTTGAATTTCATATCTTCATGTTTCTTTTAAATGTCTGAAGTGTTCACGGTATATGTTTTATCCAAATAATTTAAGGGCAAATAAGTGTATTCTTCCCATTGATGAAAATGTTTGTTTATGATTATACCCTCTACCAGTGATCTGGAGCTGAGACCTGTTGGAGTATTAGATGTGAAGCTTGTGCAAGCTAAGGACCTAGCAAATAAGGACATGATTGGGAAATCCGATCCTTTCGCCGAGTTATTTGTGCGTCCACTTCGGCATAAAATGAAAACCAGTAAAACCATTGTAAGATACTTCACTTTCTCCTGCAACTGCTATCATCTTTTCTAGGATTGATGTTTAACTCATAGTTCTTCTACAGAATAATACATTGAATCCGATTTGGAATGAGCACTTCGAGTTCATTGTAGAAGATGCATCAACTCAACACCTGACTGTAAGAGTCTTCGACGATGAAGGGCTTCAGGCCCCCGAACTGGTTGGATGTGCTCACGTAGCATTGAAGGACCTTGAGCCTGGTAAAGTGAAGGATATCCGGTTGAAACTGGTCAAGGATTTGGTGGTTCAAAGAGATACTAAAAACAGGGGCCTGGTAAAAACATTTTGATCATAGTTCTCACTCATTTCCTTATTGCATATGCTATGGAGTTCAGTGTGTTACAATATCCAGAACAACTCGAACTTTGTAGTAACTGATAAGCTCCATGATATCTTCCTCATAGGTGCAGCTTGAGCTACTTTATTGTCCTTTTGGCACAGAAAGCAGCTTTAAGAACCCATTTAACCCTGATTTCTCATTGACATCATTGGAGAAGGCCCTGAAAACTGCAACAGCTGAAACAGAGGCCGTTGACCTTGACAAGATCATGAATCAAAGGAAAAGTGATGTCATTGTCAGAGGAGTACTATCAGTAACAGTTATAGCAGCTGAAGATTTGCCGGCAGTCGATATTTTGGGGAAGGCGGACCCTTTTGTCATCATCACATTGAAGAAATCTGAAGCAAAAGCCACGACAAGGGTGAGATATACCATACATTTCCCCCCTAGAAGCTTTTGCAGGCCAGGTCTCAAGGAGCGTTATTTCACTTTTTTTTATCAGGTTGCTAATGAGACCTTGAATCCAGTATGGGACCATACATTCGACTTTGTTGTCGAGGATGCATTACATGAAATGATAATTTTGGAAGTCTGGGACTATGACACTTTAAAGAAGGTATAATTCCTACTCCGATCTACGTTGCCTCTGACAGCCTTGTTAACCATGCTAACACAAATTTTCCAGGAAAAAATTGGAAGATGTATTATGACACTCACTAGGGTCCTTTTAGAAGGGGAAGTTCAAGACACATTTGAATTAGATGGTGCTAAATCAGGAAGGCTTTTGCTCCATCTAAAATGGACCCCTCAGTTAGTATTCCGCGATGCTTGATCGTACTGAGAGAGGATGAGAGACAAGGAAACAATTTGCAAACACCTATGAGGAGAGGACCTGAATAAATGCTCTGCTAATCTGCAAGCTAAAGTTGTATACCTTGTCAATACCAATAATACCAGAGGCACCTTTTTTTAGAAGACAATGTAATTGAAACATTTGAGGAATAGATCAAAAAGACAATCACTTCATAGCTACATTATGTTATTGTAAAAGATATCATAATATTCCTTTCTTTTAAGGGTGTGTTTGACCATTAATTTATTTAGATTTCAATATATCTATGTGGGATTTTCAATGTGAACATCATGAGGAGAATGAGAGTTTATATAATGATACCAGAATTACATACAAGGAAACATTAAATATGCCTGATTTGCAGTAATGTCACAATCTTCTCTAATCTAATTTTGACATATATCCATCATAAGTTCCCACTACACCATACCCCTAACCTCAACAAGGCAAAGTAAAATACACTCACACACAAGAGGAAATATCCAAGATCATTTCCACTTTTTAGGTGGTGGTTGAAGCTCTTCATCCTCCTGGTCTTCTTCCTCATCCTCATTGTCATCGTCATCCTCATCTCCACTGTATGCATCCCTATTGGCCTCAGGTTCACCTTCCTCCTCACCTGATCCATCTTCCTCATTGTCTTCATCTTCGTCTTTATCATCTGGTGCTTCATCTTCATTCTCATCATCATCGTCCTCCGTGTCATTGGCATCCTAGTTCTCAGGTCCAGGTCTAGTCATAGTGATAAGTTGGGCAAGCGGAAACATACAAAAGAAAATTCACTAATTTTTCCACATTCCGCATAACAAAGAACAAGAAAGAGTTAGGCAAAACAATTAATGCAACTAACCCTGCATATTGTCACGGACCGCGACCATGAGGGCGAGTCCAACATCCACCAGCGTACACCTGCGTGTACCAAAGCATTTATAGACCTAGACGCATAAGGCGGCGCACCAAGTCTGCCTGATGCACCAAGTTTGCACCAAAATCGGGTAAGGCCGAGTACACCATGACTCGAGCCCTTTCCAAGCCAAGATCGACCCTCTCTATAAAAAAGGACAAAGCTACCATCCTTGTTTAAGTATGATTCAACCTTTAGACTTTTAACCAAAGTATGGATGTACTTTTAGTTAGAGTAGAAGTAGAGTTAGTCATTAACTCTTAGATGATTCTCATTATAAAAGGGGGTCTCCCCACCCCCATTATATTCATTCATTATTTCTCTTGGAAATAAGACTAACCCGGCTTTCAAGTCAAATACTCTCGTGCATCTCTTATTTTCATTCATACTCTTTTTGTTCTTACGTTCGCAATAATTTAAGCAACCAAACTTAGGTTTCAAGGCTAGCTTAACGGCCAACAATCGAGCAAAGCGACTAAGGGCCGCACGGACCAGCTAACCAATAGTTTAGCCCCGTGTCAAGTGATATCAGAGCCAGGTTCGTGACTAGATGAGATGGCTTCACAACATGGCGAGGCAGCAACATCCGAGGGTACTGAGACTCGCAACGAAAAAAAGAATCGAGGAATGTCGAAGGACATGCTTGCATCGCTCCAAGGTAAGATCACCAGACTTGAGTACTCTGCGAGAGAGACCAAAGAGGTTTTGATCTGTTACAATCCATCGATCTAGAGAAGCTAGGATCATTAGATCTCGAGAAGCTTGAAGCCTTGGAGAACATCCGGGAGGATGTACAAGCGACACTCAATGGATTCAATATGAAGAGTTCTCAACAAGAAGATGTTGTTGAAGCCCAAATCCTAGCTCTAAGACGAGAGGTTAAATAAATTAAGAATAAGGGTTTTGAGACCGAAGTCAAAAACCTGAAGAAAGAGATCGAGCAACTCAAGACCGAGGTGGCCTTGTGTAAGGCTGTTGTGTCTGGCAACATGCTGACCAGCGCCCCCAAGGGCCGAGCCGAAGTCACTAAACTAGAAAAGTTTAAAGGGACCAGATCAACCAAAGACGTAGAAAAAATTATGTGAGACATGGATCAATACTTCCGAGCCATAGGCATCGAGAATGATACTGAAAAGGTAAACATTGATTTTGTTTACTTAACAAATTTAGCACTTTTATGGTTGCAACGTAAGTGCGCCGAGATGAAACGAGATGGCACCACCATTGAAACTTGGGCGGAGTTTCAGACTAAATTCAAAGAATAATTCTCATTATACCGAGAACAAGGCACTATCAAAACTAAGGCATCTTAGGCATTAAGGCCCACTGAGAGAGCACGTTCGACAATTTGTCGAGTTAAGCCTTCAAGTCCCGAGTCTAAGTGAAGAGGACCGGGTTCTTCACCTTCATGGATAGGATGAAGCCATTGGTAAAGAACGAGTTAGAACGTCAAGGATCTCGCCAAAGTCTTGACTATCGCTAAGTCACTCATAGAACTTGGGGTTCAAAAGTATGACTCCTCCAAATCAAAACATAAAGCCAAAGGTGGAGATAAGGAGAAGTCATTCAAAGGAAAATCAGACAAAGAACCGAGTAGTCCTGGAAATCCATCAAATAATGTTACCCAACAAGGGGAAAAGTGAGAAAACAACCCATCCAATGCTAAAATTGCAAGGGTCTGGGACACTTGGCTAGAGAGTGCCCTCAAAAGAATCAACTTTCTACCATCAAAAGAACCGATGAGGAAGAAAAAGAAGCTGAGACTCTTAAACTTGGATCCATCGTTAGTACCATGGAAGTAAAAAAGGGTCGAAAGAAAAAGGACTAATGTTCGTGGACATCTCCATAAAGGGACAGAAACTAAGTGCACTTGTGGACACCGGCGCCTCAGAACTATTCATGTCCGACTAAGTCACAACCCTTCACATAGGCAAGTGGCTTCATCAAAACTATTGAAAACATTTTGATGTTTCAATATAATAATTTAAATGTTATTGAATTTTAAGATTTTACATCATTTTCAAAGTATATTCGATTCAATTATTCGAATATTAAAATATTACTCCAAGTTTTTCAAAGTTCAATTTCAATCCTTACTAAAGTGAAAATTTATGTTTTATACTTAAAATATTTTTGAAACAATTTTCACAAAGTATTTCGAACCAAAATCGAGCCAAAAATCAAATTTACAAAGTGATGTACCGATGCACTACATTGATGCATCGATGCACACCCATTTCGAATGCATTTTGTGTATCGATGCACAAGTCATGCATCGATGCACTCTTGAATATTTTGAACATCGAATGCATTTTGTGTACCGATGCATAGACCATGCATCGATGCACTCCAGGCTCATTTGAAACATCGAATGTAATTAGTGTACCGATGCACCCCTAGTGTACCGATGCACTAAGTCTTATAACAGTCAAAATATTTGAATTTTACACATAGTGTACCGATTAACCATGGCTATGCATCGATGCACCATATGCTCCCAACTGTTTTATTAATTGCTTTCACACAATAACGGCTCTATTACCTCCAATAATGATCCCCAACGTTCAAAAGTGATCCAAGGAGTATTTAAACAAGCTTAGGAGCCATTGATCAACAATAATTAAGAAGAAAAGCTAGAGAATCAAAGAGAAAGCATCAAACCTCATGTTTGAGCATTTCAAGCCTATTTTTCATTCAATATTCATTTTTCTTTCAAGAACACCATTTATGCTCTATTTTATTTATTTTTTAGTGTTCTTTCTTTGTTCTAGAATTGTACAAACATCTTACCTTGTGAGGTTTTCTTGTAAGTTTGCAAATTTGTGTATTTCTCTTTGGGAGAGAGTGTTCTCAAGAATTTGGAGTATAATTCTTGAGGGAGTTGTAAGGTTACTCTTTGTCCTCAAAAGAAAGAACAAATTAGTGAATTTGTTGGAAAATCCTTAGTGTGGATAGCTAAGGTAGTGGACGTAGACTTTGGTTGAGAAAGTCGAACCACTCTAAATCGCTATGCAATTATTTTCAATTTTCTGCAAAAGCTTCCACCAAAATTTTTATTGTCAATTCACTCCCTCTTGGCTGATTCTTCGATCGATTTAACTCAACAATTGGTATCAAAGTCTCACTCATTTGAAGGTTTAATCACCTCTTGAGTCGATTCGGGAAGAGTTATATCGATATTCAAGTCATCAATGGCCTCCACTTCAAACTCTGACTTCGATCTTGATTTTATGTCCATCAACAAACCTCCTTTCTTCAATAGAGCTAATTATGCTTATTGGAAGAATAGAATGAGGTACTTCATTCAAGCAAGTGACATGGGAGCATGGAATATCATAGAAGATGGATACTTCATTCCTTCTGCTCATTCAAGATTATGGAGTGAAGCAGAGACAAGAATGTTCCAGCTCAACTCAAAGGCTATCCACATTATTTTTTATGCTCTTGGACCAGATGAATACGGGAGAGTTTCATATTGTACAACCGTCAAGGAGATATGGGATAAACTTCAAGTCACTCATGAAGGCACAGATGAGGTAAAAGAATCTAAATTAGTCTTCTAACCCATAGCTATGAAAATTTCAAGATGAAACCGGATGAAGATATCAAAACTATAACGGATAGATTTTCAACGATTGCCAATGGTCTCAAATCATGTGGAGAGATCATTCCAAATGAAAAGCTTGTGAGGAAGTTAGTTTATTCTCTTCCAAAATCTTGGAAATCAAAGAAGATGGCAATCATCGAGGCTAAAAACTTAATTTTCTTTAACTCTAGAAGAGTTAATTGGTTCTCTCCTCACTCATGAAATGATGCTTCAAGATGAGGTAGACCTCGAGAAGATTGACAAGACAAAGAAGGAGAAGGAGAAAAAGAAGAACGTGGGAGTTGCTCTCAAATCCACAAAAGATGAGAGTGATTCAGATAAAGATGACGATGACGATGATGAGGAGATATCATTATTTCCAAGTGGTTCAGAAAATTGATGAGGCCCAACCGAGGAAGAAAATTCAAATGAAACGAAGGCTTCAAAAATGAATCGAAGGAGAAAAACCCTATTATTTACTATGAGTGTAAAAAATCGGGTCATGTCAAATACGATTGCCAGTAATTGAAGAAAAAGGGTTAATCCAAGAAGAAGTACAAGGCTCATGTAGCTACATGGAGCGATGAAGAAGGTTCCGATAAAGAGGAACAAGAAGTAGCAAACTTGTGCTTGATGGCTATCGGGGAAAACTCTCAAGTAACCTCTAACTCATTTGATTCAGATGATTTATCTTATGATGAGTTATTAGAGGACTATAATGGGTTGGCTTCGGATTATAAGACTTTATTTTCAAAATAGAAAAATGATATTTCAAAATTGAGAAATGAAAATAGTCTTATGTCCA